AGTAACAAGTGCCTTACTAGTAGTAACAAGAAGCTAGTAGTAACAAGAAGCTAGTAGTAACATTTTCGTAGACCTCCCTATCCTTTGGGCCCAACCGAGGCTCGATGACCAGGGAGCTCGTCTCGACCACCTGTGCGTCTCCAGCAGCGCGCTGGGTGGCCTGGGGGTCTTCGCCCAAAGCCATTTCCGGCAGGGTGACGTGGTGCCCTGGAGGGCGTGCGCCACGCGACGTTCCAGCGGGGTGGGTGCTTGCTTGTGCAAGTCAAGCACAACTAGTCGGGCGAGGAGGTGTATATAAGTCGCAACGGCAGGGAGAGATGACAGGGGAGGGCGAAGTCGCAAGGTGTTGGAGGCGTGAGCGGTTCTTTTTGAGAGCAGTTTCTTCCAATGCAGAATTAGAAAAACAGAGTAATAGTAATAGCAATCACATCCATAAGAAGAGGTCACAATTCAACATTCTTTTTCATCAACGGTCGATTCATTTCGCTTTGCAAACCAGGCTTTCTCGACTGGACGCTGTTCGACTGGGTGGATGTGTTCTGTGCACAACAGGAGTTCTTCAAGTCTTAGACCGCCTTGCAGAAGAACCAAGGATGAACCAAGAATTGGACCATCTTGATCTGAGTAGAGCACAACATGGATCTTCCAAAAAGATCAAGGAGGTCCTCAGTCAATGCTCAGTCCTTAGACCGGAACCTAGGGTGGATCCATCTCTTTTCCTGCCAAGTCGCCGAGATCCCTGGACATGGCCTTTTACATCCGTTTACTGCTGGTTGATGACACCTTGATGATACCCCCCGAGCTGAACCACCACGAGCGGAATCGCCTTAAGGCTAGGTCTACGTCATGGTGGGCCCAAAAAAACCGGTTTGACCTCGAAGGGTCTGACCAGATGTCCCATTTCAGGTCCGCTCCGACCGGTCGGACTGCGCGCGGACCGAGCGCGCGGACCCGAGGTCTGCGAGGTCCCCGGCTCGGCGCTGCTCGCGGCCGAGCTCGGCGCCTGGCGCGGCCGCGCCTGGAGCGCGGAGGCGCGGCTGGCGGCGCGGCTCTTGGAGGAGAAGCGCAAGGGAGGCGCCGGTGCGCACGGCGCGGCGCGGGCCGTTCGAGCGTGGTGGGGAGAGATGCGGCAGGTGGTTTTTACCAGGTGGGTGGCGACCTGGACGAAAAGCTTTTGGGTGAAGGTGGTGACCAGGTGGCAAAATTGGAGAAGGACCTCCATGAATGAGAAACAGACGTGTGTGAGCTTGCCCTACAGTAGGCCCTACAGGTGCAAAGACCCAGTAAAACCTGGTCCTCTACCTCACTGGGGAGTTGTTTTGTATGATGAACTTCAGACAATTGAGGTCTTTAACCTGTAGGCAGTGGAGAAATCAATCAAACGAAATTGACAGGTGATCTGGGATGTTTCTTCGCGCTGTTCGGGTTCACCCAAGGTTTCTTCGGTGTGTCCCGACTGAAACCTGGAGGCGAGTCCTTCTACGAGCCCTACATTAGCAGCTGGTTCTGCATAATGTACTACACTGGCAAGCGAACACCCGAGTGAGGGAGACGGAGAGGAGGGAGAGGAGGAAGAGGAGGAGGAGGAGGGAGCGAGGGAGCGAGAGAAAGAGAGAGAGAGAGGGATAGATAGATAGATAGATAGATAGATAGATAGATAGATAGATAGAGATATAGATAGAGATATAGATATAGATATAGATATATAGAGAATAGATAGACACGCACACACACACACACTAACGCACACACTTATGAATTTGTGTACTGATTTGGTTGCGGTTTGCCACACGCCAGGCTAAGTGAAAAAAACCTAAGAAACCAGGACAGGGGTAGGTACGGTGGTCCAAACTTCCTCAAAACCTGCACAGCCTCCAACTTCGAATCGACGCATCCAAAGTGTAAAAGCAAAAGCAACTGCAAAAGCAAAAAGGCAAGTGCATGTCTGCAGAGCTCAAAACCGATGCAATGGCCAGCGACTTGTTCTAGTAACAAAGGGGCCCATGAGGAAGTAAGTGGTGATCACTGCAGGTACGTCTGGCTGATCAGGCCAGATATCCGCATGTACTGTGGCCGCTTCGTTGGACCATCGCTCGCAGCACGTGGATGGTCCCCCTGCTGAAAAACTAAAAACCGCACAATCCGACCGGATCCCTGTGATTTCAAGGGGCACACACACGCTCCCCCGAGGTGGGGCCGAAACTGCTAAGGTCAGGACGCATGTGCATGTGCACGCGTGCGAAAGACAAAAGAATGAAGACATGACAAGAGGACGGGACGGGACAAAGGTGTAGGTGGTTGTGATGAAAGGGGGAACCAAGTGCACAGGGGGAGCCAAGTCCACGACGACGACGACCACCACGACGACGACACTACTACTAGTACTGCTGCTGCTACTGCTGCTGCTGCTGCCACTACTACTAGATCTGCTACTGCTACTACCACTACCACTACCACCGCCACCACCACCACCACCACCACCACCTATGAAGATTAACACTTCAGTGAGAACAATTCCAAAACCTTTAAAAATCAAAAATGAAATCTACCCGACTGCGACTAGTCGGCACGATCGTCACGCGGCCGCACGAGCAGGATACTTTTTCCGCTCTTGAGCCACGAACGAAGTCATGGTTGGTGCATTTGCCGAAGTGCGTTATGCGAACTTGGTACACTTCTCGGATTTGTGCCGTGTCGGCATGCGGTCAAAAACTGGCATGCTAATGCCAGCAACCTATGGCATCCATGTGCACCTAATGTAGAAGCAAGTTTTGGTTGATTTGGAAGGGACATGAACTTGGTGTTGGACATTCACACCCCCCCTCAACCAAACACTGGCTTGCATCAAACTATTTTGAAGAAAAGCTTTTCAAGAGGTATTCAAGAACTATACTTTATTACCATCTTATGCAATATGGATGCACTGCTTGCAAGGCTGGATCACACGGTCATGGTGACCTAAGCATGGGCAACTGCCATTATCATGGATCCGATGAACCTTTCGGGGAAATTCGAACGAAAACCCGAGCTTCTGCTCTTGAGACACAATGCCCAAAGGGAGACAATTCCTGCACAAATGGATAGGCTTCGCAAGAGATGAATTTGCATGATGCTTCAGCATCGAACAATGCACTTTGTGCAAGCGAGTGCCACTCTTAGTGGTCATACAAAAATCTTCAGGCGTGAGCTCATGAGGGGCTTCATTCTCCTTTCGAGGCGGCGGCAATCTGGGAGACACAGGACGTGGCGGAGAATGACTCGGAGGTCGAGGACCATCATCTTCATCAATCTTTTCCCAATCCTGAGAGCCATCCGAGGCTTTGCCAGCACTGCTTTCATGGTCCATCTTCTCATCTTCATTCTCAATCTCTGGGATCGTTGCTGAGGCAGCTTTTCCAGCTTCATAGTGATCCAATCCTTTGTCATTAGCACTTCCATCTTTTGTGGAAACTCGATCGCTGCTTGATCCTGCGGCACTCTTGTCACGCTTCCGAGATTCACCTGTGGTGACCCTCACTTCAACTTCCACAGTCGAAGGAGAGTCCACTGAAATCACCACGCGAGACTTTGGCGCCATCACAATGATTCAAATGGCACAGGATCAAAGAGCAAAAGATGAAAACTATGTGTATATCTTTATGTGGGATGACGTCATCAAGATCTCTATTGAATTCTTTCAAGGTGTGATCGGTATTCATATGGATCAGGTCTACCTCGAGTTCGACGATGCCGGGCATGCATTTAAACACCTGTGATTGTATCCATGTTTATGGAGTTTGAAGCGAACAGACGATGTTCGACGCAAAAAAATGCAACTCTGTGAATTACACTTTCTCTTTCCGATCAATCAATCCCGGATGCTCAGGAACCATACGGCGATCTGGAATGACAGCTCATATGGGTATGCTCCTAAGTCATGCAGGTGCTGATGGTTCAGAGGTGTGTGGTGGCTGCATCGGCATTCCTTAGGAATGCACAAACCAACGTTGGACATGACTTTAAACACATGGCGCGCTTTCAACTCACTTGTGTCGTACGAACAACGTGCAAATGATGCACTATGATTCATTTGGGCACCCAAGCAGAACGACTGAACTTGGTTCAACTTCCAATACAGACATGGTCGAGCGAGTTCGAGGCAACGGATCTGGCAGCGAAAAAGCGATCCTTTTCCATGACTGAAGATAGTCAAGAACTCGGCCAAATGAGATTCTCGAAGCTCAGACCTCCGGGGTTCCTGGATGAGGTTCAACACTGGACTGCCCCCGGTGCATGGCGGTGAAAACCAACCCAGAATCTGAACCAATGGAAACTCTCGACGAATCATTGAAATCCAATCCATGAGTGTTTCTGAAACACAGCTCAAATCATCCTCCTTAGTGATTGCAAGGACTTCAAGACCGGTCAAAGATTCAGACTCACACACCTGGGAGAAACCTGCAGTCCTGGTGGTGCATATGTCAACAATGACATGAGTGACAATTCCGGAATCCACCTTTGATCTGATGGTCGCCATGTCGGCAAAGAATCTCTCTCTCGTGTTGCCAACCAGTGCATCTTTCGACACTGAAAAAATTGACAACAGCTCTTCTTGCCCAATCGACAGCTGCACGTCAGCATATGAATCATCAACTTCATGTTCGGCATGAATGGAATTCTTCCCGGGTTTTCCTTTCCTTTTCATTTCCTTTGGCGTGAACAACTGCCAATCTTCAGGACTCAAAATCTCCTGGATACCCATCTGCTCGCGGTGGCGCTCTGTTGCCTCCTTATTGAGGATTTTGGTCAGCAGGTCAGCGATGCAATCTTTCCCAGGGATCCAACCCAAAATCAAATGACCTGATTCAACCAAAGATTGCACATAACAGATGGAGAGGGACATATGGCGTACTCTTCGGGAAAGCCCCTGATTTTGCAAAGTGGCCAGACAGCTTTGCGAATCCGAGAACAATCGAACACTCTTAGACTCCTGGTCTTTTGTGCTCCCAACATCATCAAATCGAACAAATTCCAACTTCGGATTGGATGTCTCGGAACGGCCCTGACCCAATGCATGAGATTCAAGGAATTCACATACGTGGCGTAGTCCCAAGCTTTCTTGGGTGACTTAGCAAACACCAATGACCTCTGCCTCGCACGATGAAAGGGTGATGCATTGTTGCAACCTGCAAAAACCTTTCAACAGACATTGTTTCCAAAACATCACACCACCAGTCACTGAACGACGGCGTTCATGCTCCGAGCTTCCCCAACTGGCGTCGCTGATTGCTGTGACCCCTTCATACGGTTCAACCACACTGAGATTTGCAGGGAATTTCTGGTACAAATGAAGGGTTCCACGAACGAATCTGAGGTATCTCCTGAGGGCAGTCTCATGGTGGTTTGATGGAGTGGCCTGGCCAGTGGCGAGCAGTGAGATATATCGTGAGTGATCAGCTCTTGACTGGGCCCACCAGGATAACTTCCCAAGGATACGTTTATACCTTGCCGAAGCCTCGTCACTCAGTGGCACAATGGATGATGGATCTTTGATTCCCTTCTCGAACAGTTGAAGTAGATCCGGAGGAACCGTGGTTGCCTTTAAGTCACAGCAGAAAGGTTCTGATTGGAATAGGTCCTCTAAATACTTGGGCGGCACTCGAAGGAGTAGCTCATGGGAATGACTGGCTCTTGTTATTTCTTTACCTAAAAATTGCACAATGCCCCCTTGGCCGGAACTGTTGGTCAGGGTGCCGGTCACTTTGACCTTGAGGGTTTCCTCAAGAGCCTGCTGTACTTCCTTGATGCCTGCAACTGTTTTGGACCCAATCAACAAATCGTCGACATAGATGAGCCCGATGGTAGGGCTCTTTGAGCCTTTGGGCATGCCGCCCAAAATCGTCGGCTCGCTCTGGCAAGGCTGCAGGTTCGATTTACTGCGCAGGATACCAGTGCAGGTCTGAAGCCATGCTTTGGAGGCAATGCGAAGACCGTTCATTGCCCTTGCCAGGTCGATGTATACAGAGACATAATGATCTGGAGCCCATGAAATGTCACTGGGAAACTTCACAATCGCCCGATACCCTTTGGGAAGGTACGAATGCAAAAATGCTGTGGAAATGTCAAGTCCATATAGGAACATGTCATACTCCATGATCATTGTCAAAAAGGCTCGAAAGCTCTCTGCACTGGGCGTTGAGGAAGAAATCCCCAAATTTTGGGCGGACATCGAACCGCTGGCCAGTTGCTGGGCCACACAGCGTGCACGGCATTGGTCGGCCACACCTGCTATCGTTTTACTTGTCAACACCCATCTGGAACTTACGATTTGGATGTCAAGTTCTTTAGCCAATGCATGTGCAGCATCAGGTTGCAGCAAGACTCCAGCCTTCAAATGATTCATGGCTTGCAACTCAGTAAGCCGGCCAGACTTCACTAAATCAGCAGGAAACCATGTTGACCCGTCTTCGGACAAACCTGACATGGGTTCGATCAAATACACCGTGGATCCACAAAA